TGGGATAAGGGGGCTCGAACAAGGTGAAAAGGGGAGCCTGAAGCCCTGGATCTATGGGGATGGGAGTTAGCGTAGACCAGGCCAGATGATGCACAAGGCCCCCCACAAGAGGTCCAGCCAGGCAACTTCTGTTCTCAGTTTTGTTTACTTAAAATTTAACTAATCAGTAATGTTCACCTTTTGACCAGGAGTATTTCTCGGCTCCAGGTTCAAAGACATCTGAGACAGACTGGCAAATGGTAGAGAGGGACTTAAGAGGTGGAGACCAGAGGCCAAGGCAGCTTCAAGGATAGAGGAGGCTTGGCAGGATGGAGTTCAGCCCTGAGGCTGCAGCTGCTCATCCAGACAGAAGGACACACATCCTAGAGCCCCCTCCCAGTGCCACTGACTGCTGCCCCCATGCCAGTACCGGGCACCCTGTTCAGACTGTCGGGCGCAGAGTAGTCACCTGTAAATGGCTGAATGGACAAGACACAAAGGATCAGGGCTGCCTAGGATACATGGGCAGCACGGCTGGTGAGCTGCCCTTGCAGGAGCACCCACGGATGGCCGCGCCTGCCCAGCACTGCAGAAGCTGCTGGACTCACCAACCTCGAGTCCAGGCTCTGCCACCGATGGCTGGTTTGAGCCTCAGTTTCTTTATCAGAAAAAAAATCTCTATAAACAACCCTGTTCTCATTCCTAGGGCTACTGTACTACTCTCCTTAGATGACCAATAGGAAAGAGTGTGATGGGGGAAGAAGAGAATTACCCAAGCACTTTCCCTGCATCATATCTTTTAACCCTCATAACAACAGCACTAAAAGGCTATACTCTTGTTGCTCCATTTTACAGTCGAGTATCCTCTAGTTCAGAGAGGGTAGGTTCCCTGCCTGAGGTCACCCAGCTGGTAATCTGCAGAGCCAGGCCGGGACCCAGGTGTGTAGGATGCAGACCTGGGCTTTGCACCTCTGCCCATACGTTCCCCGTGCAGGGTCACAGCTCTGGATAAATTCTGTACCAAAGTAAGGGATCCTTCTTCTTGTTATTTATAAAACCCAGGATAGGAAAAGGACGGTTCTGAGCAGCTGTCCTTTCTCCCTCTGCCTCTGCCTCCTGGTGTGCAGAGGAGCAGCCTCCACAGGCTGGTCCTTTCTGCAGCCTCACACAATCAGAATTTCGGCCCTCTGGGAGAACCAACCTAAGAAAGCACAAGACTAATCTTCAGAGCTGACGTCTTGGAGGCGTCGCGTCAGTGTTTGGGTTGGATGTAACCTTGTTATCGCGATGCACAAGAAGCCCCGGATTTCATAAGGCTGAGACATCTCAAGCAACGTAAGAAACATAACAGGATATTGCAAAGAGATCAGGGAGCTTCCTGTGGACTGCACAGAGGGAAGGGAGGGGGACAGACGGCACCATTTCCCCTGGGGCCACTGAGTCCCCAGTTCAGGCCTGGCTGAAGGACTAAGGTGGCCGGGCAGAGCGCTTGCTGCCAGCACCCTGGGGCCTGCCTGGTACTGAGCAGAGACTCCGCAGTCTAAATTCAAAGCAGCTGCAAGGCTGGGGTGTTACGGCTGGATGAGGAGAGGGGAGCTTACCTCATGAAAGAACAGTGGAAGTGGCTGCTGGAGAGATAATAAAAGGATTAACTGCTATTTTAGTGGCCATTTACTCTTCAATCAAAATGTCTCATCTATTTCCTGTTCTCCAGAGGCTCCAGGTCCAAAATTCCTTTGTCTATTACAGCGCATGGTAGCAGACGCCTGTCATGAGAAATTAATAATTTCACAGGGAAGGGAGATTGTACTTATCTGGGTGCGGGCTGGGGCCGGCCCCATCCCTGGGTCACCTACTGTGCCAACATCGTGGGGGAGGGCACTCCCACCCCATGGCAGGCAGGAGGGGCTCCTGGAGGCTCTGAGAGGCCTCGGAAGCTGTGGGAGGAGATTGTTGCTGCCGGCTGCAGATGGTGGCACCCAGCAGGGCCGGCCCTAAGGCTCCAGAGAATCATTAACAGAAAATTTATGGACAAGAGCATGGCAGTTTAGAAAGACGTGGGTTCAAATCCCACTCCAATGGTTACAGCTGTGTAACTTCAGGCTTTATTTTTATTGTCACTACTACTACGATGATTCTTTCTTTATTGTTGTTGCTAATATCATTGTCTTTAGCTGTATGACCTAGGGCCCGTTGAGCAATCTCTCTGATCCTCAGATTCCTCATGTGCAGATGGGGGTTAATGATATCATCCTGCAGGGCTGTGGTTCTACCACTTAGAATAGCACCTGCACACGCTCAGCACTCAGCAACCGCCTGCAAGTGTAACCATCAACTGTGCTCCTGATCCCAAAGGGCAAGACCAAGCGCTCACTTAAGAGCAAGAGGGAGGCTGGCTGGACTTTGTTTCTTCACCTGTAAAAAACCCTGGGTTTGACAGCACCCTTGTAAAGACTAAACACAGTTACCAGGGAGCCTGGACACCACCGCCTCCAGGAAGCCTGCCAGGCCTCCCCTCCCTGGACCTAGGCACACTCCATCCCAGGCTGCCACTGGTCCTCGTCCCTGATGGCTCAGGGATCCATCCCTGAGTGTGAGGTCCCCCAGGGCAGGGAATATGACAGTCCAGGTCTGGGTCCCCGGGGCCAGGCAGGAGCCAAGTGTCCTGCGGAGTCTGGAATCAGGTGAGATCCCACAGGCCTAGGAGAGAGATCCTGAGAGTGCACTGACCCGCCTGGCCTCCCTCCCTGGGCCTCCACTTCCCAAGCTGGAAAATGGGTGGGAACTAGTGTTGAGAGCCACAGCCAAAGGGGCCCCAGCAAACTTCCAGCTGCCGGCTGATGATTGGCTCACAGCAGCCCCAGCAACATCTAGCTGATTGGCTCCTCTGCGGTGATGCTCATTGGGCTGTTTCCCTGCCCTTTCAGACCACGGAGCTGCTCATTGGGGGACTTTTTTGGCTCCGCCCATGTGACCCAGCCAATCGGCCTCAAGAGCAGGAGGATTGTGGGAGGTGGAAAGAAGCTTGTGTGGGAGAGAGAGGCTTGTGGAAAGCCGGTGGTGGCAGTTGAGGCTCTGAGGGTTTTTCCTGAGAGGCTGTTTTGTTTGGCGTGTGTGGTTCTAAAAATAAAGTTAGTTTCTTTTGACAAGTGGCTCCTGATTGTGCCCAGCCAGACTGCGGCAAACTAGATCATCTTGAGGCCCCCAATGTCCAACACGGATACTTTAGGATGTTGTGACCCCACACAGGAGGCCCCACTGCAAGAAGACCACTGACTACATCATATTGGGGTTCATGGGACAAGGTAGCCTCCACTGAGGCCCTCGCAGACACCAATGGGCTCACCCACATGACAGAGAACTACAGCTGTCCCTCCAGGGTCTCAGGGAGAGAAAAGCCAGACCACCTCCCAGCAGCCCTGGCCCGAGGACTATCTTTTGGTCATGGCCTCCCAAGCAGGGGCACATCTTCCGGCAAGCCACATGTTCTAAAACCCCAAATGAACTGGGGCATCCCCAGCCTGGCCAGTCACCAGCCCCTGGCCAGCACACTCTCAGCCCAAAGGCAGGTGACAAATCAATCCATGGCCTGCTCAGCCCATCCTCCCCACCTCCTCTCCACACACCAGGCTCCCTCCTCCTCTTGTCCTTGGCACGGATGGCTCATTGCCGCTCACCTGTCTGGGAAATCAACTCCTTCTCATCTTCAAGGCCTGGGGAGCTGACCCCGTGTATGCTTGGCTCATGGCCCCACAGGTGACAGGCCTGAGGCGAGGTGAGCACTGGCCCTGCCAGAGCTTCCTGCCTCCTGCCTGGCCTCCCTGGGGCGGAGCAGGGACACTGCTCCTTCCCAGACCTAAGGTTCCACGAGGTGGGGCCAGAGACAGTGACAGTGCACAGGCCTGGAAGAAATCAACCATGGCTACAACACTGACCCCTGCAGACCAGCCCTGCTGCTGCTCAGACTGAGCGGTGGCCTGGGTGGCCCATGCTCCTTGTTCTGTGGAGCACACCCTAGGCCCAGCCTTCCACTCCCAGGCAGGAGCTTCTCCTAGAGGGTGGGCTGGGCCTTGGGGGCAGGCAGAAGGCATCAGGGATTAATATTATGCTCCTGGCCTCTGATGACAGATATCCACCACAGCAAGAGTACAATACAGAAATGACCAGTCAGAAGGGCCAGAGGCCAGGCTGCCAGCAGTCAGTGTGTGTGTGTGTGCGTGAATGTGTGTGCATACAAACACGTGTATCTTGCTTTCTCTCCACAGAAACCTTAGTTTCCATGCCAGTGGGAACACTGCTGCTGCTCTGCGGGGCCTTACCTGATGACCCCTGACCGTAGCCCAAAGCCTCTCTGGGGGCCCAGAGGTCTCAGGCCCGATGCCTGTGAGGACCCAGTGCTCCTTGAGGACAGCCAAGCTGTAGGCAGCTCTGGGAGGAGGCCCAAGAGCCTTTCTGGGAAGGTGAAGGTCCAGTGCTGAAGGAGTGTCACTGCCTGCCTGTCAAGGCCTCCGCCAGGTGGAGCATGGAGCATGTGCACGTGAGAGAGGCTGGCCAAGCCCGCTTGACCTTGGAGGCCGTGCAGCATGCTAAAGCACACCTAATGCATGTCTGATCCTCAGGGTGGGGGGCAGGGCACCTGGTGAGGACAGTGTGGCACTGCCAAGTTTCGCTGTGACAGTGGCACTGACCACCTTTTTATGGAGGTACCAGAGATTGAACCCAGGGGTGCTTAACCACTGAGCCACATCCCCAGCCCTTTTCTTTGTATTTTTTAATTTAGAGGCAGCGTCTCCGTGACTCGCTCGGGCCTTGCTAAGTTGCTGAAGCTGGCTTTGGACTCACAGTCTACCTGCCTCAGCCTCCGGAGTCCCTGGTGCCACCGCACCAGGCGGCACTGACCATCTTGACCAGGGCCCACGCCCACAGCACTGTACCTAGCTCCCAAGGTGCCCTTCCAGGGGAGTGAGATGGGTGCTGCTCTGCAGGGCTGGGGCGAGGCCGGGCAGCCTGCAGGGACTCACCATGCACTTGTTGGGCTTCTCGCCTGAGTGCACCCTCATATGGATGAGCAGCTTGTAGCGGGCGTTGAAGGGCTTGTAGCGGCGCACGCAGCCAGCCCAGAAGCAGGTGAAGTCCTCACCCTTGCGCTGGTCGATGTGGCTCTTCTCGATGTGCCGCACCAGCTCCTCCTGCTGCTCATAGGCTGCACAGCAGTCCACCCAGCGGCACGCCTGCCGCCCGGCCACCATCCTGCTGGCCAGGCCCAGCCCCAGGCCTGTAAGGCCCGGGCCAGCTGGCAACTGAGGCAAAGGGTAGGGAGGCGGCAGGCCCTGCTGGTGAGGCCCGAAGAGCTCTGAGAACTCGTCCGCAGGCTCCTGCTTCAGAAAGCCCGTCTTCCGGCAGGCTTCAAGTTGCAAGCTGCCCTCGTGGCTCTCAGTGGACACAGGGCCGGGCCGGGCCCGCTTGGCAGGACCCCCCAGGTCTCCTGACAGAGGGGGGCTGCGGAGTCCATTTACACAGGTGACCAGAGCTGTCTGGGAGGAACGGATGATGGGGGTGACGTCAGAGGAGGTGCAGGGCGAGGAGGAGGCCGAGGAAGTCGGGGGCAGGCCCAAGAGGCAGCAGCGCTTCAAGCTGCCCTCAGGAGGGTGGGCCTCAGGCTGCGGGCCCAGGCCAGAGCTGGGCTCACTGCCCAGAAGGTAGCAGGAAGGTGCAGGGTTGGCGAGGCCTCTGCTGGGGAGGTCCAGATCCGTGTGCAGGCCAGTGGCTGGTGGGGCCCGGCAGTGAGTCAACAGGGGTGTGCGGGCTTCGGCCATAGCCTGGTAATCGGGCAGGGATTCCTGCTTGATGTGTGGTGTGGTTGGGAGGCCGCCATTCACATACGTGGCCTGGGGCCTGGGAGACCTGGAAGAGAGTGGTCAGGGAGGTCATGAGGAGGTGGGCACTGCACAGGGGGAGGCCTCATCGGGGCTGCCAGAGAAGCCAAGGGCTAAAAGCAAAGGAAGAGGAAGACCAGAGATGGGTGGTCTGAGAGCAGAGAAGAGTGTGGAGGGAAGAGGAGAGAGAGGAAGAGGGCCTGGGGTCAGTCGAGAGGCAGGAGGCGGGAACAGGTGATGCCGGAAGGCCCACTCATCCTTTTACCAAAACCAGCCCCCACTCCAGCCTGGGGCCCTCCTCCCAGGCTGCCCTGGGGTCTTCCCTGCACTGGGGTCAGAGGAAGGTCTGACCCCTGTGGGTTCTGTGGGAAGGAGGCTGAGCATTTTGAGAAATAGCCAGGTCCAGTAGATTTTAAATTCCACTTACATGTCCCTGAAATCTTTTTTAATCTCTGTAAGTTTTTTGGAAGTGAAAAATCTTCTAAAAATGTCCTCTGAAGTTCTGCCCCAGCAACCTGTCTTCCCAGCTATTGGCGTCAGTGAATGGGCCTCTGAAGCACAACCACGGTACAGGGGCACCTTAACACTAACTGAGGAGAAGACCCCCAGGGGAATGGCCCAGGACTTCAGGCCCAGACTCCACGACTGCCTGAAATTGGCATTCTGAGAAGCCAGGGGCAGGCTGGGCAGGGCAGCACACAGCAGCAGGAGGCCTGGACCTAAGGCCAGACTCAGCCCTGTCCCAGCTGCGCCAGCTCAGGCAAATCCTGAGTGACATCAAGGTGATCCTCCCCATGACAGTGAGGGTGGTGCAGATACCACGACTGGGGTTTGCCACGGTGGCTGTCTTCAACATGGCACACAGTCTCCTAGAGAAGGCCTCTCGCAAGCACAGGCATCCCCTCTGCCCACTTCACAGGAGGCCCGATTCAGGAAGACAAAAGGATTCTCGCACCGTAGGGCCTACCATCCTGGGCTGGGGACCAGGTAAGATATAGGTAGAGACACCAGGGCCTGACTGTCACCAGAGGACTCCAAAAAGGAGAAGGCCAGGAAGGTAAAGCCCCTCTAGCTGGCCAGCAGAACAAAAGGCCCAGTTTTGTGCCTAAAGTCTGACTAGGACACCTCATGAGATCCCTTCCACCCCACATCTGAGTCTCGGTTTCCTCACCCATGAAACAAGGACTAAGCCTCTATGTAGCACTCAAAGGGCAGTTGCCAGGAACAAGTGGCAGCCCTCTGGGAAGTGGGTGGCATGGTGCATGATGCTATTATCACTGCTGCTACAGCACTGCTGTGGTCCCTCTGTTTCCTAGATGGTCTTGCAGCCCCAGCCCCTCCCTTCTGGCTCCCTGTAACTGCAGCACTCTCAGTTCCAGCCCCAAGTGCAGGGTAGAAGAGGATCCAGAGCTAGGGACCCTGGGCACGGGTTCCAGCTCCATCACGGCAGAGATGGAGGAGTCAAGAGGGCCCAAGGCTTGCCCACCATCGCACAGTGGCAAACCCATGCCACACCTGGACCAGGAGCCCTGCTCTCTTATCCTGTGTACAACTGACCTGAACATAGGTGTGGCAGAAGGGATTTCTGTTTGTTTCTCAGCTCTAATGAGTAACCCTCCACCTCCCTCACCAGCAAACTCTCTTCCTACCCAAGGATTCTGCTGCCCAGTCTGTGCCCAGGAGAACCAGGAGCTTTGATTCTGAGGCAGACAGCAAATGCACACCCCCTCCCAGTGCTAGCAGAAAGCTCCATGTATTGAAGACCTAACAGTGAGGACCTTGTGGAGTTTAAAAATATAAAAACATGGATGCTGTGTAGGAGGTTGCAATCCTGGGCCTGGTACAGGTGGGCTGGGCAGAGAAAGGCAGCAGGAAAGCCTCTGTTTGGAGCATCCTTTTGCAAACAGTTATCAGGCTAATCATTAATAGCAGTAAAGAGGAGCACATCTAGCATTCTGGGACTGAGCTATTGGAATGAAAAAAAAAAGGCTGGGGATGTGGCTCAGTGGTTAAATATCCTTGAGTTTAATCCCCACTATTAAAAAAAAAAAGAACAAGGTGGGGGATGGGGCTCAGGGGTCACAACCTGAGATGTGTGTGGGGCCTGCCAAGAGGCTGGTGCGGCTGCCAAGGAGGCTGCAGGGTGGGCAGCCAGGGCCAGATCACAAGCTCTCCTCACTCTGTATTTCTAACCTTGTTTTAAGGAAAGAAGGCTCAGCTTCTTGCCTGAGGTCACCCAGAGAGCCAGTAAGGTACGGAGTGAAGACTTCTGCATCATTCTAACGATGGCTGTGGGGGCAGCCACTTTACACACAGGAATGACAACATCAGGATGTCGTTGAGGCTATTTAAACCTCTTCACAACCGGCTAGATGCCGCTGGCCTATGTACATAACCCCCTGGCCTCGGTTTCCCCACCACATGGTGATGGTGGGTTGGGAGAATCAGTCTTTACACAGCACTCAGCGGAGCCCATGGCTCACAAGAAGAACCTGTGACTGTTGCTTTTTTGCAATGGGACCCTGGGACAGAGTGGCTTCAGTGGGAGAACATGCACATGCAGTCTCTGGCTGAGAGGGAGCCATTTGGTTAGCATCAGGGAGTTAACCTGGAGGCAAGAAGGCTGGCAAGTGGCTGTGGCAGGAGCTCAGGTGGCAGACCAAGGGACGTGAGACTGAGAGGCCACCCAAGTGCATGGTACCAGCAGTGATGGGTAAGGAACAGGATTTGGGATATGTGTTGGCCTGGGCCCTCTTTTCCTCTTTCCTAAAAGTGCCAGCTCAAATTCTACCACTTTGGTAGCAGTGACTTTGCCAGAGTAGGACACTGGGTTCAGACTCTCCTTGCCCTCCATTGTCAAGATAACATTTAAAATGACAAATGATATTTTTGATTGTGTCAAACAAACACAAACCCCCTTCTTTAGTGCGCCCTAGGATAGCACAGCTTCCACCTGACATAGAATGAATTTCCCTGGAGAAACTGGGCACTGCTAGGAAGTCTTGTGAATAATTAGGCAGATAAATGCACTTGACTCTTGATAAACCATGCACAGCTTAAAGCCTAAAAGATGTGTGTTGCATGTTGGGAACTGAACTGTGCCCACCCCCCATCCATATGTCAGAGTCCAACCCCACAGTGTGGCAGTGTTTGGAGACAGGACCTTTGAGGAAGTAATTAAGGCTAAGTGAGGTTAATCTCCTCGTAGGAAGAGGAGATTAGGCTGGGCATGGTGGCACAGCCTGTAATCCCAGCAACTCGAGAGGCTGAGACAGGAGGATCTCGAAGTCAAACCAGCCCCAGCAACGGCAAGGCACTAAGCAACTCAGTGAGACCCTGTCTCTAAATAAAATACAAAATAAGGCTGGGGATGTGGTTCAGTAGTCGAGTCCCCCTGAGTACAATCCCTAGTACCACCTGCAAAAAGAAGAGGAGATTAGGACACAGATCAAGGGATGACCTTATAAGAGACATTGAGAAAGCAGCCATCTGCAATGCAAGGAGTGAGTCTCAGGAGAAACCAAACTTGCTGCACCTTGATTTGGGGATCAGGCATCTCTGACCAGTCCCTGGCCCTCCTGAGCCTCAGTTTCCCTGCATGTCCCACATGTTAGGCAGACTAGGTGAGATCCTGAGGCCCTTGATCCTTGGACCTCAGGGACTGTCCACAGGAAATGGTGGACAGGTGGGGATGGGCACGTACCTGTTAGGGTGGGGGAAATGCAGCAGCCTCTCGCAGGCTGGGGGGTGGCCCCGGGGTGGCGGACTTCCTGCAGGGAGAAACAGTCCCTGGTGACAGGTGGGGCTGGGGCCCTCAGCAAGATCCAGATCCAGCAGACCCTTCTCCGAGCCGGGGGTGCAGTGACCATAGCTCCCATTCACTAGGCAAAAACCACAGGGAGAGAGGAGACAAGTGAGTGGGGACAGCCTGCAGGAGGGCACGGGGAGAGGGTGGGCATCAGTTACGGCTGGGAAGGAGCACTGGAGCCACCTGAGGGACCGTGCTTCCTCACCAAAATCCCAACCAGCAAGACCAGTAATAAAATCCCCAGATCTCCAACACAGATGCCAAGGCTTCACTGCTGAGAGGACCATTATGCAAACACTGGGCACTTAATGTGAACCAGACACTATTCTAACAGCAAGAAACGGGTGAGCAGAACAAACCCCTGGTGTCTTGGAGTTCACAGCCTGTCGTTCCTGATGCTTGCACCTCAATCCTTGCATGGTTGCTGCACCTGTGCCAGCATGGGGGGGGGGGGTCCCACGGGTACTCGCACATGTGTGCCAAGGAGGAGATGTGGTCCAACAGCACTACTGTCCCTGGTACCAAAGCCCCACCTGTGCTGCTTCCCAAATCACATTTCACAGCAAAGAGGTGGTGTGTGACCATTCCCCTCCACCCCACCCTCCATTCCCTGGCAACCTGTTGAATGCCCAACCTTGCCCACTACAGGTCTCTAGGAAGCCTAATTGAGGCAATAGATGTGACAGGCCTTGAAAAGCTACGCAAAGTGATACAAACGTCAGGCACAGTTGCTCTAAGCTCCTTCCCCTCTCTGGGCCTCTTTCTCATCTATAGATGAGGATGGTTAACCTGGAACTTCTTGGGCTTTCTACTCTGTCACCTCTGGGGGTGATGCAGAGGAGGTAAGGACATGGACCTGGTGACCTTTGGACCATAGTGTGACCCCCACCTCTGCCCGAAGCCCACAATGCCACTGGGCAAATCCCTGCATGTGGCTGACCCTCGGCTCCCCTGGGCAACAAGGGACAGTCACACCAGTTCTCCAGGGACGCCGTGAGGTTTGGAAAGCAGAAGTGCACAAGCCCTGGCACAGTGCTGGCACCTACAGGTACGTGTGGAATGGAAAACATCCTTGAGGTTAAACTGCACTTCCAGACCTATAAGGTGCCCTACAGATGCAATAAAATTTTATCAAGGGGTCCAAGGGTTGTCCATGCACTGTCGACGCTGAGCGAGATAAAGCATCAAGGTGAGAAAAAAAAGGGAAGGCCAGAACATAGCCAACCGCTTAAGCTAAGGACAAGGAGAGCAGCACCTAGATCAACACCCAGGGTCCCACTGCCCTCTGAGGGAGGTATGCATGCCAGTGTCCCCATTTGACAGAGGAGAAAACAAGCTCAGGGAAGAGACACTCTCACCCAAGCATTAGTATGCAGAGGAGACTGCCCTGCTCTCGAGGTCCCTGGCAGTCAAGGGGCTCGGGCAGCCTGTTGGGGGGCTCAGATGAGCATCTGCTCCACGCCACCTTCCCGTCCTGCTGTGGGGAACGCTTGCTCCGCTGGCCTCGGCGGCTGCTCAGCCAGCCCCTCACAGGCTTATTTTTTAATAACTTGGTTGTTTTTTAATTAAAAAGAAATCCCTGGTAACAAATGTGAATGGCTGGAGTTAATGAGAGCAGGCTGCAGCTCGTTTCACTCCATCTCTGCTTGGCCGTCCTCGCCTTTTCCAAATGGTTTCTGCATGTGATTTTATTGTCCCATTGAGGCAAGCCTTGGGACGGGGCCTCAGAAAACTGTGGATAATTTTATGACCATTAATAGCATTTGGAGCAGAGCGCGCTTAATCATCACTCGGGGCTGCTCCGCCAGGGTCTTCCTCCAGAGTCCTGGGGGGGGCGGGTGCAGTTCTGAGCCTTCCTTGAGGACACGTAGGAGCTGTGTGCAGGAAAGGAAGACTTTGGGCCCCGGGATGAGCAGTGGGAGCCTTGAGTTTTCGAAGCCCTTACTTGGCCACTGTCTCCAGATGAGGAAAAGCCAAGGTTTGGACAGATTAGCTGCCTCGGTCCAGGCTCAGAGGTCTGTAAGAGGCAGGGCCACAACCCAAATCCAGACGTCTTAGATTTCAAGGTCCAGCTCTGTCCTGCTACCTCTCAATCAACTGATGAGTAACTATAGACCCCCAAACAAGCATCTCCAACTGGGACCCCAAGGAAGATCAGAGAGGTTAAGCAGTTTGCTAAGTACACACAAGGAGTTACAGGCTGAGTTGAGGTCAAACCCATCAACTCTGTGGGAAGAAACAGTCATTATCAGCTGTTTCCTGCCTGGAGACAGAGGTTTTTCTACAATAGATAAACAGGCTGGATTAGGGAGAGAGCCTCTCCGGTCACAATTTGGCACTGGTTGGTGCTCCAAGTCCATTCCAGCCCTTTTCTCTTGTACTGCCACAGAGCCCTGGAGGGAAGCTTTGACATCCCAACCTTGCAGAGGGACACTGAACACCAGAGCTGGCAAGTGGCCACCAAGGTCATACAGCCACTGCAGATCACAGGGCCCATAGAAAGGTCTCCCAAAGCCCATACCAGACTCTCGCCCAGGCTTCCTGCTTGCTTGAAGGCTGGAAGGTTAAACCAGGGGGCTGACGTGTGTCCCAGAGATGCTGTCACCACCACAAAGATATGGGTGCTGCCTAGCGCAGGGAGTCTGTCAGGAAAGACATGGGCGCCATCTCCCACTGCTGGAGTCTGGCCTCTCTGCTCCAAGGGCATAGCAAGGCCCAGATGGGGAGACCCCTTCCTGCCCACACTGTCTCCAGGGAGTGAGAGAGCCACACGGACTGCCCTGCTGCCCTGAGGAGGAAGTGGGGGTGCCCCGGGAAAGGGCTGGCACCCAGCAGCCTCATCTCCCTCTGTGCCACAGGGGGCCAAGAGTGGACTTCGGAGGTGGCTTTCCCTATGCAAATGAAGCTCCTCTTCACTGGAGACTGATGGGTCCCATGTTCATTTTTACAAGTTGGTAAGAAATCTTAGAACGTCAAGAGCTGGAACTGACTATCTATTTTATTAATAAATAAACTGAGGCTCCGAGCGAGCAAGAACCTTTCATGGTCACACAGCAAATCCACAGTGGAACCTGGACTGGCACTTCTGAAGTTAGGTAAGAATTTGGTCTACTTTCCTCATCAAGCCTCAGTCTTCTTATCTGTCAAATGGTACTGACACCTACCTTACAAGGTTATGGGAACAGGCGAGATTATAAATACAATGCCGTTGGCACGGTGCCTAGCTTACAGGAAGCACCCGGAAAGGAATGATGAGGACACTTATTTCATCTATTTCTCCTCCAGCTTGGGGAAGGGAGGCAGGGCCTTGTTTGAGAAGCAGTCTATCCCCAGAAAGGTCAGACTCGGATGACCCTGAGGATAGACTGATGAGGACCAGCCTCCAAGATTTGAGGTTCACCAAATACAGGGCTGGGCAGTCTGGATGAGGTCACAGCCAGCAAATCTGAAGCAAATGGCTCCAGTTACACACCAGAGAGCTTTGCAAATTATCGTAATGAGTTGGCTGTAAAGTGGCACCACATATAAGGTGACTCCCCACAAGAATTTTAATTTATGCTGAAACCTGCCAAGTCTGTGTGAGTGGACATGGACACGTTCAGCAACTCAGGCCCAGACGCGCCACCCTGCAGCCTCAGCAGCACCCGCAGCCGGGTGGGGGAAGGTCTACGTGGTGCTGCCTTCTCCTTCACTAGCGGACTTCTAGTGCCTACCCAGTAGCAGGCTGGAAAAAGGCACTGCCCTTTACAGTTTACAGTAAAGGTTCCCAGCCATCACCCCGGAGCTTCATTACAACCCTCAGAAGTTGGCTAGGCAGGCTCAGAGGGGGAAAGTGACTTGCCCAAGCCCACAGAGCAAGTCAGCGAACTTTACCAGGCAAGACAAGAAACAACTGAGGCTCTGGGGGCCATTCAGCCCCTGCCACCACGACTCCACTCTGCTGTTGTACCATAAACAGCAGTCATGAGAAGTATGTAAAGGAGTGAGTGGGGCTGTGTTCCAATAAAACTTTATTTAGAAAAATAGATCTCTGGCTCTTGAGCTATTAATCTGCCAATCCTTGAACTTATGCAGCAGTTAGAGAGGGATTCAGAATTGGAGATGGTCATACTTTCCTGAGTCTGTAAAATGGGGAGAATTTTACAGGGTGGAGTCAATGACATGATAATCAATACTGCACACAGGGCCAGCTCTGCAGGGCATTTAATAAATTCAAGTACCTTCAGCCTGGCCCTGGGTGCCCCATAACCTGGGGTCCTTTCACCTGTGTGTCTCCTTACACTCCCATGATGCTTTGCAGCTCCTGTCAGGCCCCTGCCATCTGTTCAGGGGCCTGACCCTCTCACACTGTGGGCACTCAGAGCCCAGCTTCTCCTCCTGGCACATTCCCTGGGCTCTCACCTCCCTGACTGCACAGCACAGCTCCCAGAATCCCTTGTGGGGCTGCCACTCAGGGTGCACCTGTCCACCTGCACAGGCCTGGCAACTCACATGTATTCTGTCACTCCAGAGTTGGATTGGGACACTCAGTACTGCCACCCTGGTGCTTTTCAGTGCAGCTAAGGGCTCTCCTCCCTGCAAGTCTGTGACAGCCTTCAGGACAAGGACCTTGAGGCCCCAGGGCTACTGAACATCAGTATATCCTGAAATGTGGCTTTGCCCAACTTATTTCACACATGGAAGAGAAAACAGGGGCACATCCCACTCTTACAGATCAGCAGGGTCACTAAGCCCAGGGCCCCACTGGGGACATCCCTCCACACAGTAAGACCCACAATAGAGGGTGTAGATATAGGGAGGATGGCTGGCTGGGATGCCAGATGCTGTGATTAGGGGAACTGGTCAACCTCTGGTCACACACACACACACACACACACACACACACACCTGGTCTAAAGCCCCAGTCTGCCATTCACTTTCTGGTGTTTGACTCTGGAATGAGTCACCTCACCTTTCTGCACCTCTGTTTCATTTGTAAAATGGAGATAAGAGTCGTAGCTGCAGAGGTGAGCTAAGCTATTGGGATTAAGTGAGATAATACACGTGGACTCCCTGGAATGGTGCCTGTTGCAT